CTGTTAACGAAACAATAAGTAGGCATAAGATTACAGAAGGTCATGTGGTTTACCTTATGTGTCAAAGGTTTATGGGAAGTTCTGTTTTTGGTAATATCGCCCTTGTGAGCTATGTCATTTCACAATTTAGTAAAATCTCTAATTTTTGTCAATGTGTATTGTTAAAAAGATTGGAGATTTGACTAAGATTGGTGATTGGCATAGACCACGAGTATATTGTCAAAAAATTAAAGCATGTGACTTACCTTCCACTTCATTTGATTCGCAACATATATTACCATCCACTTGGACCATTTGTGAGTAGTGATGTGGGTATGAAATGATCATAATGTTCCTGCACATAACGTTCGTGGATGCTTTATTACAAATTCATCGAAATAGGAGATTCAACTAAAATTGGTAAGAGGTGTAGACCACTGGAGTTAGTGTTAACGATTTTAGAAGAATTGAGACTTGCCTTTTCATATAGAATAAACCACGAGAAATTTTTTTCTTGGGCAGTAATGCCACCATGCCCACCACCATGTGGTCTTACTAATCTAGCACTGTAACACATGGTGGTGACGGGTTTATACTTTAGGGTCATGTATCAGTAAATATATGTGTTATGACACAGGTTGATTGTTAACATTTGGTGGTGTTACATTCACACCAAAAGTTACCCATAAACAGTGGACCATATGTGAGTTTAAGCCTAATAAGTATTAATGTGATTTTTTTCATATTCCCCTTCAACTTGTTGATCAAGAGAACCAAATTAATGCTTTTGGGTTCTGTAATTAATGAGGCGGCGACTTTTGGCGATTTGTCCAGAACATATTATTTTGCGTACAGTTTGTTCTGCATTTTACATATGGGACTCAATTATTTCGTGGACTCATTGCTTGCACCTTAGAAATGCTCAAACTTTGAACTTCTTAAGTTTACGGGACTGGTTGCACCAGCAGGAAAGTCTGAAGTCAGTTGTATTTTTTTGTTTCAGTTCAAAACTAAAGGTCGTTCACAATTGAAGGAATACTGCTCATCCTTAACAAAGGCGGACTGCCATCTTCCGTCTAATTCCGTACTTGCTTGTGAGAAGGTGGGTAAGATATAATGAGTTAGCTGTTCTTATGAGCACTAAACAGGCATTTGGTCATGATTTCTTAATTACTGAAATCAGAATACTGCCTCTTGCTTGTCATTGTTTTTTCTGCATTGCACCATTTCAATTTGAGCATGCTTCTACTCTAAATGTTTATGTTTGCAGTTTGGGTTTTTAACTAGCTAATAATGTGCTGAAATACCCCAAAAATTCCTGCTGGCAAGTGTAATGGTACTAAATGAATGAACTCTGTTTTAATTTTGACTTACAGCATCCCCTTTTGGAGGATTGTCTAATTGGTTTTTCCTGTTTCAGAAATGGAAATATGTCTGTATTTGCTATTTTCCTATTCACTTAGTTATTTTTATGTGAACTTATTCGAAGTTTTTTTTGGTGATTGTATTTCGAATTTTTATCCTGAAATTACTGCAAATAACTTCGATCGTAGTACTTAAAACTATGTAGGTTTTCACTTGTCATTTTATTCTCTCTTTCATCAGGTTCATTTTAGGCGAATAATCGCTCTACATACTAATGTCAATTTAGGAGACTGTTCTTTTCTAGACACTTGTCGTCGCATGAAGGGAAACGTTACCCCCATCCCATTACTTGAGTGATAAACTAAATTTATTCTAATGACTACTTTTCATGAAGTATTACACTTTTCTCTTCATTGTTAGACGTGCAAGTATGTCCACTATGAACTTGATCCAACACCTGATGTCTCACACATGATGATGGGGCCTCGAGATATCGGTCCCCCTAGACAATTAAGGCCCCAGCGTGCTGAATACTGTTCCGAGGTTGAACTTGGTCAACCACAGTGGATTAACTGTGATATACGCAACTTTAGAATGGACATTATAGGGCAATTTGGAGTGATAATGGCAGATCCACCATGGGACATTCATATGGAATTGCCCTATGGGACAATGGCTGACGATGAAATGCGCAATCTTACTGTTCCAGCATTGCAGACGGATGGTCTGATTTTCCTTTGGGTCACTGGATGTGCAATGGAGCTTGGGCGTGAATGGTATGTGTATACTTTGGCCATCTGTCAACTATGTGTTTCCTGATACATATAATCAAAGATGCTTAATTGGATCTGCTTATTCTTTGGCTTTGGCTCACTGAAATACCACCCTCCTTCCAGTTTAGAACTTTGGGGATACAAGCGAATTGAGGAGATAATTTGGGTAAAGACTAATCAAACTCCAACGAATAATTAGAACAGGGCGGACTGGCCACTGGCTTAATCATAGCAAGGAGCATTGTCTTGTTGGAATAAAGGGGGAACCATTAGTAAAAAGAAATATCGATGCTGATGTCATTGTTGCCGAGGTCAGAGAGACAAGCCGGAAGCCAGATGAGGTTAGGGGAATATACTTCGTCTAATTCTGCAGTGAAATTCCTATTTGAATATAGTTCTTCCTAATGCGCTTACAGGGTGAACAATAATATAATTTGTACTTTTTCCCTTACAAGTTAAGAGGTGGTAATCTAGAAGTTGTTGCCTTCTTCTAGATAGTTTTATCATGATTATCGTCTTTATATTATCATTATTTGTTTAATATTGTCTTTATATACACTCCTGCAGATGTATCCTTTGCTGGAGAGGGTAAGTCCAAGGACAAGAAAGCTAGAACTGTTTGCTCGCATGCACAATACTCATGCAGGGTATGATTTCTTGACTGCCGGTTGCAATCGTTAAATGAGGTTCCTTCATTGCTGTTGATCACCAACGTAGTAAGTAGTGACTTTTTGCATGAATTGATAATGAGGGTAGTCAAGGATCCTGTGACAACCGGTGACAATCTGAATCTAGCATTGTCTTTACGTTTCGTAGGTTAAAAGAGATTTGATTTACAACTCGTATAGGCAAAGTCTGCTATCATGCTAATGAGGGTAGATAAACATTATAACTCTTTCGGGTAATTATAATGCGTTTACCATTGTTTATTCCCTCTTGTTGTCTGTGGGCCCTTTAGTTGAAGATCAAGCTTTCTAATCCTCCACTCGTTTGCAGACAGACATCCCATTTATGAGCATTTTTTGCTTCCCATCTTGTCAGGGGACGGATAAGAATTACTGAGAGGCGAGATACTTTCTTACTTTTAGCCATGCGGGGTGGCTTTTCATATGTGTGTCCCAAAGTGACGTCCATTTTTTGGATTATGGTTTTATGTTTTTCTTTAATTTTGTTCCGAACTATCTTGTTTCAGGTGGATGTCACTAGGTAATCAACTGAGTGGTGGAAGATTGGTGGATGAAGGCCTGCGTGCACGATTCAAAGCTGCGTATCCGGTTGTGGAGGTGCAGCCCGCCTCCCCACCCAGGCCCTCTGCCACGGAAGTCGACTCTAATGCTGCCCAAATGCGGAGTCCATTCTCAGAACCTGCAGTTCCGGAGGCACCCTATGCTGCCTCTGAAGTGAGGCCATCACCAATGGATGTTGAAATAGCCGGTTGAGTATCCATTTGATCCATCACAATTACCCAACCAAAACAGCGTTCCGTTGTTTGTACTAAGATGTCGAAAGGAAGTCCCGCCCGGCCCTTGCTCGGATTATGATAGTAAGTAATGAGGTTGAGAGGGACTCCATGATCGTCGTCGATTTTGTCAGATGTGTCTACCTCTTTTTAGTATTAAGATAAGAAGAAAGAAAAAAAAATCGGTAGTACAACGAGGCTTAGATAGTGTACTTCTGTGCCATATATAATCGAGTATGCAATGTTTTACAGTTACTATAGTTCTGAGCTTATGATGTTTGTTCGTTATTTACTGCTGTTGTTCCCTGGTAGTCGCGTGTGTGCATCCGGTGCATCCAAAGGCAATTATAATTTTGATAGGCTTTTGGATCGGAATTTGAACTCTTTGATTCTAATCCGATGCATTTAAGAACAATTTGTATGACACGAGACATGAACATACAAAGTGAAATTAATAAATGTTTTTATATTATTAACACAAAATGTTACCATGACAATGCACTTATGCAATACAAGTCTTAAAATTCGTATGAGTGACAAAATTTTCTCATTTCTTGCACTTTATTTATTTTTTATCAATGATATGCTGCATAATTTTGATTGGACCCACATAAGAATGTAAAATGGAGGGACCAGGATTGTATGCCCTTCCACTGCCGGTGCCCTCCTGTACTCTCCTATTTTGTGTGATCACGGTTAAACAACGTCAACATTTTATATTGTTTTTTTTTTATAGAGATACTAAGACAAAAATGAATAGTAATATGAAATGTTAACGTGGTTTAACCGTGACCACACAAACAAGAGAGTACGGGAGGGCACCAGAAATGATAAGACAAAAATGAATAGTCATATAAAATGTTGACATGACTTAACCGTGACCACACAAACAGGAGAGCAAACAATCCTTGTACAAGATGGAGATGGACATTGTCACACCATAGTGGGTGAGAGATTTTTCAAAGTGTTCTAAACACGCAGAGGTACTCTATACGTTATTATGTGCGCAGAGGAAAGTTTTTTTTTTTTTTTTTCAAAATGTTTGTTTATTTTTCACTTGTATAATAACATATTGCATATCTGTTATATTTCTCTTGTCGCAGGCGAGCAACATGCTCATCCAGCTGGAAACTTAATAATTATATAAACTACTAGAACTGGTCACCACCACAATCAGCGGGCGGGGTTCTGTCGGCCTCTCCTGGTTCTTTGACATGGGGAGGAAACCAATGTTATCTTTCTCGATTATCAAAAAAGTAACCCACTTTGTAACCTTCTCTTTGAGGTAAATGATATCCTTTTACACCCCCTCTCAATCCAAAAAATTTGAAATATCAGATAATTAATACAATTATATTTCTATTTCTCTCGCGACGATTTTCCGAAAACTCGGAGTTTCGCCAAAAGAAACCAAAGAACAGTAATTCTGGTACTTTGCTTTATTCTATTGAATTAACAAAAAGAATTACGAAACCACAACCTCCATACTATTGAACCAATATTAATGGTAAAAAGAAAAAAGAATCACTGTCCAAACGTGGGGAGAAAATTCAACTCATCTATGTTGAAGCTCTTCAAAGATTACCACTGTGTAATGCAAACACCCCAAATCCAACAACCGCTGCTGCGAAAACCGGAAACCTTGGCGACGGTGCAGAAGAATGCGGTGCAGAAGTAGGCGGAGCCGGGATGCTGCCGAAGACGGTGGGATAAGAAGGAGCGGAAGCATCCAATGCACTGGGACCGGCGGAGGGAGAGTAAGCAGAGCCATTGCCCGACAGAAAAGAAATGTGCAGCTTCTGGTTCTGTTGGCAATGGCCCGGTTCGCCGCTGGTGAAGTAGAAATCCCCCAATGTGGTGAAATTGAAGAGAGAGTTGCCGTCGTTCATGGACAAGATTGGATCTTTGAGGTTGCAGCTGCTGTAGGATTGTGCTGTCACTTGAATCACAGAGTCTTGGCTTGGTGGGTACAAGAACACTGCATATTGAGAACCAAAATGAGAAAGGCGATATTCTAAACTATTCTATTCGAACTTGTTGCAATGGGGTCAGGACATTGTTCTCGCCCTCGCATGAATGTCCTGGCCCACACATGAGAGAAATGAAACTATTTGGTCTTCCTTTTGTTGTTTTAGTGATTTGTTCGACAATTTGATATTCTAAACCACTATACATTACTGAGAAAGGCGATTTGAGGTGGGGTGCAATGAAACGGCCATACTGCTCAAGTCAACCGACCTAACCGAGATATGTGAATTGGTAATGAGAAAAAAGGAAGAAGAAACTTACAAAGAGAATCTCCAAGCTTGAATTGGTGGTATTTTGACCATTTGGTGTAGGCTTGTGGATTTGCAGAAGTTGGTATTCCCCAAGCATCTAGATCTCCTACTTTGTACTGGTAGCAGAGCACCTGGGACTGTATTAGCATGAGGAACTGCAGAGCCAATAGGAACTGGAATCTTGGAGTTCTGAGATTGGCCATCTCTCTCTCTCTCTCTCTCTCTCTCTCTCTCTCTCTCTAACTTGAGAGTCTTGAATTTAAGAGAGAGTTTTAAGAATTAGTCACAGGCTGGAGGGCAAGTCCTATTGGCTATGAGGGTGTCTCTGCAGACAGACAGCCCGAAGACAGAATTACCAAATGCCCTGGTTTGTGTGAGATTGGGCAAATTAAGCTAATGGTTTCCATCTTTTAAAATTGTCAAAAGACTCGATGCAAACCAGCCAGCTGTCTCAAAAAGAGTAAAACATCAAAAGAATATTAAAAACAGGGTATGTTTACACATCTGTTTATTTGTTTATTTCTGATTATCAAATTAGACAAAAAAATTATGGAAGACATGTAAGAGAAGGATTTAGGTGAGACAACCATTGCCACCGTTGCATCTCGAGTCATTAATAAGAAATTATTTGGAAAGTTTTTACAGATGAAATTTTTTTTTTTTGAAAAACTTCGATGGTATAAGGAAAATTTTATTGATAATAAAAAAAAAATGTTACATATGATCAGGGATGATATAAACCTAACTCCTCATAATACAAGAAAAAATAATTAAAAAAAATTGGGGACATAAACCTTACATTTATATAAACGAAAACAATAAAGATATAGGGGGAAAATGGGGATATGAAACCTAACACCTCTAAAGCTAAACCTACAAGTGTAAATCTGCAAAACAAATCAAGCAACATCACAGGTTAAGAAAAGAAAATAAGACAGTTAGACAAACATGTATGTCGATATGCACATTAATTTGAGAAGCGGAAGCCAAAAAAGCCAGCATAGTCTGAAAACGAAGCACCACGGGCCACCACTAGAGAGGAATCATGTCATACCAAAGTTGGAGAAGACAAGTCCATGTTAGCAAAATTGTTCAGAACAACAGTTCCCTCGCGATATATGTGAGAGGCGTAGAAAGTCATTTCCGAATGCGGTCCAAACAAATAGACCATTGTCTACGAAGGGGTCAAGGAGGATCGAAATCAGTCGATTGGAGAGCAGAAATAACACTAGAAGAATCATTTTCTAACCAAAGACAATGTCAACCCAACTGATATGCAAACTCCATATCAATAATAATTGCTGATAATTTTGCAAAGAAAAAGTTATGATAACTGATCCTTTGAATTTGGAGATATCTCATTATCTCAAATTGATCACGCATTATCAAACGTTTTAAATTGCATATATAATGGTGCGTTGTTACCTTAAGAGTTTGCTCATATAGGGTGAAATTGGAAAACCAAAAAACATATGGCCAATGATGTCAAATGGACAAGTTGGGATGGTGATGCATGAATTCAACTCCAAATGGGATTGGAAATTTTCATTTGAATATTAATTGGGAGTATAAATTGAGTTTGTAATTGGATCATCGTCATCTAGGGAAGAAATGAAGGAACATGCGAACCTGTCACCTTTCCACATGCTTTGTCTTCTGGATTCGGTCAGAGGAGGGCACTCACTAACAGCTACTTGGTGGTTGTTTAAGGTTTTATTAAATTATAGTCAAATCTATGATAGATAAATAAATAAATAGAACATGCATATCAAAACTTTTTTATTGCCCAATAACAATTGATAATTAATTACATTCTCTATGTAGATGTTTATTTACTTGAAATGTTAAATAAACTCTCTTAAAAGTGAACTTTTTATGAACTATATGTCATTTCATATTTTTTGTACATAGAAATTAACGTTAAACTGTGAGGTGACAAAAAAAAAAAATTTCAGTGTGCTTGGAACAAGGGATGATATATCATGTGTCATTATACAAGTGGTGAGATACTTGTGTTAAAAAATTAACAACTTGAAAATAAAACTTCCCTCCACTTATATAATGAAACATGGTGTATCACTCGTATTCCTAACACAATGAAATTTTTTTTGTAACATAAAATCTATGGAGAGTTTCAATTTAAAAGAGTTTTCTTAGCATTTCTCTTAATATTATTCCTCTCCAACTAAGAAGACAATGTCAACATTCTCTCTGTTGGTTTTATGGAGTTCATATTCACATAAATTCAAGAGTGCAATGTCACACATTTTTAAATTAGAAATGTAAGGAATACTACAATGTTAACATTCTTTTTATTTTATTTTTAATTTTTTTATATAAGCGATACGACTGAAGGGAGAATTTGAACTTGGGACCTCAAGTGCATTTAATCAACTGACCTACAAGCCTACTGTGAATGTTAACATTGGCCAGAGTTCAAATTTCAAAGATGACAGTTGTTGGATCAAAGAAAAAAACAAACTCAGTCTCAAATTTCATAGACGATAGTCGTATCAAAGAAGGAAAAACAGAAACTTTAATGAAGCATCCTGATGGTTTCTAACATCAACAGTGAAAAAAATAAACATGATGCAGGCATCAGTACACTAATTGGAGAATACATTAACCGCACATAGTAACCAGACTCGTTAATTAGTCATTAACTGCCCCATCCCTGAGCTAATATTAACCCACGAATATAATCATTTATAAAAATATATATGAATAGTCCACTTTATTCGCCAAATTAAATTTCTTAATGCTGCACGACCTACATGTTCTAGAAGCAGAGTGCATATAAGCGGAAAGAGATGAGGATCCCTTACACCTAATCCACTCAATTAAGAGATCGGAATCTTTAAAATTTGATCCAACGATTAAAATTATAATAATTTTTAAAGAAAACATCTGTTTGTAGTCGTTGAATTAAATTTTAATGGTCCGGATCCGGAGAGGATCCCTTTCCCATATAAGCCATCTATAAAGAAAAACACTTGCAATGCCTTGTCTTATTCGTGATACCAATATTTACGCAACTTGGCGGGTTCGATCCCAACCAATTCACTTCCTTCTTAAAATTTAACCATCTAACTCACTTCCACAATCATTTATCAAAAAAACTAGTAACTTTAACAATTAAAAAGTAATAAGCAAGTGACTTTCGCTGATGCATTTTTTTTTTTTTCGTTTCCTAATTTTAGGAATTAATAAGATAAATGGAAGGACAATTTTACTGTGTAAGTTGGATTGAAAGTTTATATTCCAACCCCTAAAATTCTTTATTAAAATGTTAATTCTGAAATCTGTGTATTTTAAATATATTAGACAGGAATTGGAACGTATGAGATTTTGAATCTGTAATCATGTTCTTTTTTCAACATTTGCCATCCAATAGGCTTTTTCAGGTTCAGGTTTGAATGAAGCTTATTCCAATTAAGAGTGCATAAGAAGAAAATAAGAGTACGAAAATTATTGTAGATATCTTTGCCTCCAATCGAATCCCTCTAATTACGCAATTTGGCCGGCAATTTGACCTTTATTATGAAAACACCCATGGACCCATACACCACAAAAGAAATAAAACGAAAAAAAAACCCCACTTCAAAATTTACAAATAAGCGAGTCCAAAATTCTAATTATTTTCGTCAAAATTTCTCCCCGCCAATAAGGAAAGCGTTCAACAAGCTCTCTCTTCATTCGCTCCAGTACTTCTCATCAGCATCCTTCTCATCCTCCTGCTCATCATCTGCACCGTCCATCAAGCTCATCTTGAACCTCTTCACGTCCTCCACCGCCGCGCTTCTGAACAGCCCTACATCGACGGCTCCCGACACCATGTGGTATCCACGTGTCCCCAAATCGCGAGGCCCGTCATGGGGCATAGCGAAGCCAGCCAAGTAGGCCCCACCACCTTTGGGGTCGGACCCCAGCACGGCCTTCTCGGCCTTTTCCATCATTTTCCTCACGTTCTTGTTCGCGGGGTCCCACAAGTACCCCACGCTGGCGCTCAGATCCAACGGCCCCATCTGAATACAGTCGACTCCATCGACGGCTGCGATGTCCTCCGCGTGCTTCACGCCGTCCTCGCTTTCCACCTGGCACATGATCAGCAGCTGGTCCTCGTAATTACTCAAATACCCCTCGTCGATGCCGTAGTTGGAGGCGCGAACGACGGTGTGGGCGGACCCACGGACGCCGGCGGGAGGGAAGAGGCAGTAGGAGACGGCCTTCTTGGCGGCCTTGGAGGATTCGATCATGGGGAACATGATGCCTTGTGGGCCGAGATCTAGGGCTTTTTTGGCCCAAGTTGCGGAGGTCTCGGGTAAGCGAAGAATAGCGGGGGTTTGGGTGGCGGCTAGGGCGTGCAGGCAGGAGAGGGCTTCGGGGATGCCGCCGGGGCCATGCTCCATGTCGACGACGACGAAGTCGTAGCCGGAAAGGCCGGCGATCTCGGCGATGGTGGGGGAGAAGGAGAGGAGGAAGAGGCCGTAGAGGGTCTCGCCGTTTTGGAGGCGGGATTTGAGCGTTAGGGAGGAGGGGGAGATGGAGGTGGTGGTGGTGGTAATGGTGGTTGTGGCGGTGGATTTGATTGAGAAGGTGGCGGGTTTAGAGGTGAGGTTTAGGGTTTTGAGTGGCGAGATGGAATTGGGTTTGATGGGGATGATGGAGATGGGTTTTCTGAGAGATGATGAGGCGGTGTGTTTGGTGGTTCTGATAGCGGCCGCGGCGGGATAAGTGAGCGTGGCCATAGCTGCCGGTTGGTGTTTTGGTTTATGGGAGAAGGCTCTCACTTTTCACTACACTGACTTGTGAGCTGTGTGTCGTCGCGACGCAGCTTAATGTTGGTGCGAGAGGAGAGACACTTGTCACGTATGCACGTGCGTGGTGAACTCTTGGAGCTCTCGCTGTGTAACCTGTATTCTACCGTACTCTAATGGCTGCAGTCCGCTCCGTTCCATGGAAGTCTTTCTCGTCTCAGGCTTTTTCCCGTCTCGTGGCATGACGGGAATTGAGAAATTAGATTTTGTTAGCACACATTTAAGACAACTTATATTATGCAAACATCTGAATAATGATGTAAAAGGCTAAACGGATAGATATATGCTCAACCGAAATAAAATTACATTTTCCAGGTCAATCATCAATAAAACTGACGTTCCACATTCCATATACCAGTTCAAATCGCAGCATAAAATGTTTACTTAGTTAACCTTAATAGGGAAAATTTCGAATACAATATCAAAAAACGAATAGAGAGACAAAATTGGCCCTGAGAATAAAGAAACGGGCTTAAGTAACAGAAATTAGCGAAGAAGAAACTGAAATGCCGAAGATTTGGTAATCAGAATTGGTAACAAACAATGCAAGTCAATCTGCTCAATC